ATGGATAAGAGCCATCAGACGCTAGGAGGGAGGCATGAAATAGATTCTCTCACAGAAGGAACAACCCAATCGACACCTTAATTTTGGACTTCTGCCATCCTGAACTGTGAGAGAATAAACTTCTGTTGTTTTAAGACACTTAGTCTGTGGTAATTTGTTATGGCCACCCTAGGAAATACTAACACGGTATTCCAAGGAGGGGGAAAAGCAAGTACAAAGGCCCTGAAGTAGAAGCATCTCTGCCACATTTGAGGAAAAACCAGTTGGCCAGTGTAGCAGAAACAGAATGAATGGGGAGAACGAATGATGAAAGCCAATATCAGAGATGTCAGAAAGGTTTTGGGGGCCAGATCATGGAGGGCCGCCGTGTGGCAAGCCCCTGACAAGGGAGCTGTTACACTTCAGATGGGGGCGAAGTTCTAACTGGAATGGGCTACAGTGGGTGGATTTGGTTGGTCCCTATGACCTTTGTCCCCTGCTGTTACATCATTGAATATGTTACATTAAACGGCAAAAGGAATGACGCTCATAGGACACTGTATGTTAACTACACTGGAATTACAAAAATAAATGGCAAAGGGCAATTAAGGAAGCAGGTGTAATAAAGGTTGCTAATCAGCTGACAAAAGAGGGAGCGTGCCCTGATTTGATTACCCAGATGGGCCCAGCGTCATCACACAGGCCCTTGAAAGTGGAAGCAGAGGCTGAAGAGTCACTGAGAGATTCAGCCGAAGAAGGAAGCAGAGGCGGAGATTCAAAACATGAAGAATTCACATGCCATTGCTGGCTTGAAAGGTAGGAAGGCGGCCACAAGCCAAAGAGTATAGGTGGCTTCTAGAGGCTAAGAACAGCCCTCAAGTGACAGATAGTAGGAAACAGAGACTCGGTCCTACAATAGCAAGGAACTGACTTCTGCCACCAACCTGAGCGAGCAAAAAACCCGATTCTTCCCTTAGACGCTCCAGGAACAGAGCCCCGTTGACACCTTGACTTTCACCTGCGGAGACCCGCCTCAGATGTTCCACCTATAGAGCTGTAGGATCACACACTTGCATTGTGTTAAGTGGCTCATTTGTGGCAATTTGTTATGGCAGTCACAGGAAATGAACATAGTGGATAAAGACATGGGGTGTGTGGAGAGGAGATCCAGGAGACAGAGAGACAGAGAGAGAGAGAGAGAGAGAGAGAGAGAGACCCCGGGTGGGTAGAAAGAAGGTGGACTCCCTAGCTGCCTTCTGGGGGAGCAGCCCACTGGGAGCCACCACCATAGGGCCCGCAGCTGCCCAGACATCTCCCCCTACCAATCCCACTTAGCCTATTGTTGCCCAGGTAGTGAGCAAGCCTGCTAAGAAGGTGCTCAGGGCCCAGCCTCTAGGTCTTCAGGTCAGGCTAAGGAGCAAACTCATGTGCCTCCTATTCTGAGAAATGTTGCAACCCTTCCCCTTGGCCCCCTGTCCCATAGAGCTGGTAGGAATGGTCCTGGTGAAACAAGTAAGCCAGCCAAACCCACTACTGGTCTACTGCGGGATCAGCTAGTCATGGCTCCCATGAGGCTTTTCTGGGCTCTGACAGCTCCCCACAGCAAGTCCATACATGTATGCAGGCACCCCAGGCTTTTTGTCTGCTCTTTGCCACCCAAGATCCCCTAGCAAGAAGAAGCAGCCTGCTGATGGCTAAGACATTGAGGACTAACTCCCATCAGACACTGTTCTAGGTGCTCTATTCACATGGTCTTGGTTCATCCTTTCTGCAATCCTATGGCGGGGGTGGGGCGGGCGGTGGGGGGATGGGGGGTGGCGGGGGACGATTGACTCCAAAAACTTGCCTAATGTCACACAGCTGGTGACTATTAAATCCAGAATTGGGCCCCCAGGAATATCTGAATCCAAAGCCCAGGCTGGACCCTCACTATTCAAGATGTGGTCCATGAACCAGCTGCATCAGTGCCACCTGAGAGATGCTCTCCCCAGCCCTGCAGAATCAGCAGCTGCATGTCAGCAAGTTCCGGGGTGATGCCCATGCTGATTGCAGTTTGAGAAGCACTGGTATAAGGCAGGTTTTCAGGGCTGGCCAGTCCCAGGTTGTTGTAACCACCCTGCCCTCAACCTCTTAAGGCTTGTCCCCGGATGCCTGGCTCTTGCTCCTCAGGTGGGGCAGATCCTCTGCCCAGCCTTGGGGAAGAAGCCTGGACCTGGGTCTCAGAGGGAGTCTCCAGGCCCCTGGAGCCAGCCCAGGCCACAGCTGGACAACATCAATCCTTGTCTGGCTTTCCTTAGGGCGTGCTGCTGCGGCTGCCTGAGACTCTCCTGGCCCCTCCCTCTCGACTTCCTTCTGGAACACAAGTCTCTTGGCCTCTGTCTAGTGCTTTCTTGAAGGGAGTCTTTGGTCATCACCAATCCTTGCAGTGTCTCCCCTCCTTAAGTATTTTGGGGGCCCCCCTCTGGCTTCTAGAATGCCCCCTGCTTCATGTCACTCCCTCTATCTAGACACCAAGGGCCTGTGTGAGTTGCCATCGGGAAAGAGGCCAACGGCTGTTTGGGGAACCTAGCCAAGCTCACAGGAAATGTCTGACACAACCAGGCAAGCGGGATTTGGCCTCTCAAAGCAAAACACAGCTGGGCCGACAGCGGGCCACTCGGACTTTCCCAGATTTCATGGCACTGAGGTCCCAGGGCAAAGACAGACGGGGTGGCTCGGAGGCGGCAGCACGTTCACAACATCACAGTAGCCCCTGGCCAGGGAGCCTGTGAAGCTGGAAGAGGATGTCTCTGCTGTGGGCCACTGACCTCACTGTGGGCCCTCACCCTCCACTGCCTCTTGCACACACAAATCCTTTGCCAGGGGATGGAAGACTCACAGCTCAAACAGCTCCACCTCCGTTCCTCTCGGCCTCCTCTCTCCCCAGCATCAGGCCTTGTCCATTCATTCATTTAGCTTTCATAAGCTGAGCACCTCATGAGCCAAGCACGGTGTTAGTTAGGTACCAAGGATGTCTTCACAAAAGAGCAGGACACAGTCCCTACTCTCCAGGATGAACAGACCACCCCAAGGCAGAATAGGATGTACTCCCCCAGGGAAGCACAGAGCGTCCCCTCTTCCTGTACTCAGGGCAACACAGGGGCTGGTGCTCTTGGCTCTGGGCACAGGGTGAGGGTTTGGTGGTGGGGGCCCCCTTTCTAAGGTAACCATTCAGTTTGGGCCCAGTGAAGCAAATGCTTATTAAGCCCCTTCTATAAGCTAAGACTGTGGGAGGAGCTCTGGGGAGATCCAAAGAGTGCAAGACAGTATCTCTGTCTGCCAGGGCCCAGGCCACACAGTCTGATTGCAGACACAGGGCACAGATCCACAGGGTATGCACTGCAGGGGGTCAGAGAGCTAGGTGGAAGTGACCAGGGGAGCTTTTTGGAGAAGGTGGTACTGGGCCTTAAAGAAGAAGAGGAATGGGCTGGGCTGGGAAGATGGGGCAGGGGATGTTAAACAGCTTTGACTCAAGGGTGTAAGGGACAGAATGACCTACCAAGCAACCATCCCCCATACTCACTTGTGTGCACACATGGGGGCTCCATGCATTCTAAAATGCATGAATCCTACAAGCCAAAGAGCGTTTGCAGAGGAATGTCAGGCTGGAAGCACTCTGCTCCCATCGTGCCCTGGCCTGACTCTGGAGCTGGTACCTCTGGTGTTCTTCCAGGGGCCTTCACATCAGGCCCAGCCACCTGGACCAACAGCTGGGACCAATCGTAACAAGGCTCAGACCCTGCCCACCTGCTCACAGCCAATCCCAGGCCATCCACCCTGCCCCCCGAGTTGTCTACCTAGCCTTGAGCTCTGCCCCTCTCTCTGCCTCAGCATTCCAAGGCCTTGGCCAAAGGGTTTGGTTCTTCTGGTTTTGATTTGGATCTCCCTAGACCTCAACCAGAGTTCATCCTTCTCCTCCTTGTGCTTCTGGCTACCCTTGCAAACAACCTGCTTCGGTGTTAGGTACTCTGGGACCCCACCTTCCTCAGACCCTGGTGGCCCCTTGCTTCAGAGTTGTGGGATAGTCTCAGGCTCCTTTCCCTTCTCTCCTTGAGCTTTCTGGCTGGGGTCCTGATCTTGAGGCCAGCCTCCTCTCCCTGGTTCTCCTGGCCTCCCAGAGGACAAATCCTTTTTCCCCTTAGTTCAGCAAGACAAGGTTGCAACATTTCAGAAAGAACATCTTAAGTAGGAAGCGAATGGAAAAACTAGCCTGAAAAACCAAAAGGAAAACACAGCCCCCTAGAAATGGACCAGTTTACAAAGTTCAGATTTCCTGTCCAGAGCTAGAAAAAGTCTAGCCAGGTTGGCTGGCAAGCAGGCCAGGGAATCCTGCCCATGCACATTCCCCTCGCCCGCACTTTATTCTACACCCTCCCCCAACATGCTTCTTCTACTCTCTTCAAGGAGAGACATTAACTGCTGGGCAGTGAGCGAACTGAAGGGATTCTTCGGACAGAGGGGTCCTTTCTGCATGGACCGCAGGCAGAGGTGGGGGAGGAAAACGTTTATAAAGAGCTTACTATGTGCCAGCCACTGTTCTAAGCACTTTCTTTCTATTAACTAACTTAACCCTACAATTCCAAGCTTGTGATTATCATCATTGTCCCCACCTCCCTGTGCGAAATCAGAGAGGTGAATAACTTGTCCGAGGCCACCCAGCCGAAAAGTGGCCTCGAAGGATTCAAAACTAGAGGGGCCAGGTTTATACCCTCCTCAGCTTTCTCCTAGGACCTGGAGGGTAGAGACTCCACTTCCCACCTTCCCTGGCTACCCCAGCCTGGCAAAGCCTGTGCTAACCCCAACACTCATTTCCTGCTCACTGCCCCTCTGTTCAGGGCAGAGAAAGGGGAGGAGAGCAGAGAGGAAGAAGGATAATTCTGATCTTCTCCACCATGGTCTTCACCAAATGGTCCTAAGGAAGAAGCCCCTATAGAGGCAGACTGTGCCCCTGAACCCAAGGTCCTATTAAGGAGGGGACTTACCTGACCAGTGGCAGCTGTGATGCCAGGGACCGTGTTCTGGGGGTCGTGGTGCTTTCTCTGGCTGCACTACTCCTTCGCAGGTTGGGTGATCCCTCAGCTGAGCGTCGGGGTGCTGGCCTTGAGTTCTGGGGGTCGAATTCCTCCTCAGGAATGACCTCCTCACAATGGGCTCCACGGAAGCCAGAGCGGCACACGCAGAGCTGGGGCCGGCTGCAGGATCCCCTGTTCTGGCAGGGTGGCTGGCACACAGCTGGAGAGACATGGAGAGGGATGAGAGGAGGGTGGGCAGGGGTGGGGGGTGGCCCTGACACCTTCCTGCCAGGAGGGCCACTGCTTTGTGCTGCTTGGACTCCCCCACTCAAGCAGGAAGCCTGACTCTGGCTTCAGAAAGCTCCCTGGGGGTGCCCCTGGGTGGCTCAGTGGTTGAGTGTCTGCCTTCAGCTCAGGTCGTTATCTTAGGGTCCTGGGATCAAGTTCCACATCAGGCTCACTGCAGGGAGCCTGCTTCTCCCTCTGCCTATGTCTCTGCCTCTCTCTGTGTGTCTCTCATGAATAAATAAAAATAAAAATCTTAAAAAAAAAAAAAAAGAAAGAAAGAAAGCTCCCTGGGCCCATGTGCTGCTTGTCCCCTCAACCCTCAGGTCCTCAGGTGAGGTTACCCTGTCATCTCCGAATAGCCAATCAGGGACTGAATGACCAAAGGTGTGCAGCACTCTCAGCAGGACACCTGACATTGTATTGCATGCCTGTGCTCACTTTTAGCTGTCTGCCTCTCCTCCGAGCCTGAAAGTCCCAGGGGGGGAGGCATTTTGTTTTCTTCTCTCCTGCCACCCTAGAACTTGGAATAGAGACTGTCACAGAGTAGATTCTCAGGAAGGAAGGAAGGAAGGAAGGAAGGAAGGAAGGAAGGAAGGAAGAAAGAAAGAAAGAAAGAAAGAAAGAAAGAAAGAAAGAAAGAAAGAAAGAGTTTCTTTCATGGGAGAAGTGCAAACCCAGCCTGAAAGTCAGGGGGTAGGGGCTGAGTTGTTGGGGTTTTTCTGTCTTCTGTGAGCTGCATGGTCTTGATCTCACTGAGCTCTGATTTCTTCATGAATCATTTGAGGGCAGGCTGAGGAGCTTGGGGACATTCTCGAGGTCTCTCAAAGTCATCTTCAGCCTTGACAGTCCCTCCTCTTCTTCCTCTTTGGAGAGCATCTGCTCTCAAGCTCCCACCTTCCTGAGTATGTGGTAGACTCTGGGATCAGCCTGGGGGCAAGATGCAGTTGGAACTGGGCACCTTCCTCCAAGCTGGTGCTATGCAGCAGCCACGGGCCACCAGAGCTGTGACTTTTCGCTGCCCTTCCTCACCCTGCAAAATCTGGAGCCTCCTCCAGTGATGAGCAGCCATGGGAGAGAGAGTCACATGCAGAGGCATACACTGGGTGCAGGTCCCTGGCCCCCCCAACCCAGGACCTCCTCTGGGGTATAAGGAGGAACCCAGGAAAGCATGGTCAGGGTCATCCTGGACCCTCTAAACCCAAAGTCCCCTCCAGCTGTCACTCATTTGTTTAACAAACATTTGCCGAGCCCCTACTGTGTACTAGGCACTGCGGATGATGTCTTTGCCCCACATGGAGCTTGCAGTCCAGTGGGGGAGACCAAAAGAAAATAAGAAATAGAATCAAGTTGCTTCCAGGCAGTATCTCAGGCTGTGAAGACAATTAAAGAAGGTGATGCAGTGGCTCACCCTTGACGTTAGATGGGGAGGACAGGCCTCTCTGAAAAGCAGGGTCCAACTGGTACAAAGGAGGAGGACAGGTGAAGGTCTGGGCAGAGCCTTCCAGGCAGAGGGATGGGCACGTGCAAATCTCTGGGGGCTGGAGGGAACATGGCATGTTCGAGGAGTTACCAGAGGCCCAGGGGGGCTGGGGTCTGATGACAGGGGGAAGCATGCAAGGCCAGGGAAACAGAGGCAGATCATCCAGACCCTCGTGGGCCTCAGTTATTCTAAGTGCATTTTTAAAATCCCAGGCACCGCTACACGGACCAGAGCCTGGGATTTCCTGAGCTGTACTTTCCCCTCTGAGAACAGGCCTGGAGTCCAAATCAGGGGCCAGTCTGAAGAAATCTCTCCAAAATTCCACTTGGTCTATGCCACCTCCTTCTTGGAGACACTCACTGGCTCCTGGGTGCCTCCAGGATTCAAGTGCATAGACTAGCACTGAACACCTCCCTTGTCTGATCTCCCTCTAACAATAAATCCCTCTAAGTCAACCTACTGCAGCCAGACTAGCCTGTGGGTGTGGCTCTCTTCTCTCTGCCTGTGTGCGCACTGTGTCCCCTCCCCGGCACTCTTTCTCATTCCTCTCCACTTACCTAAGTCGTCCTATCCCTTCAAGTCCTCCTGCCCATCCCTGATGACCTCCTCCAGCAGTGTGCCCTCCTCTGAGCAATGAGGACCTGCACTCACTGGGTAAGCCCCAAGTGCCGCAGTCAGTGATGGGTTTTCCACTATGTGGCTAATTCCCCAGTTACTATGATCAGCCCCTGCAACTGCCCCTTGCACCTCTTTGCATCCTTAGCTCCCGGTATATGCCTAACAATGACACCAGCACTGCTATTTATTTTTTTTATGGCAGCTACTCTCTATGGAGTGCTTATACTATGCAGGCACTGTACTTCGCGTTACTACCTCATTTAACCCTCATGACAATCCTCTGTAGCAAGTGTGGTTACGATTCTCATTTTACAAACAATGCCTCAAGCTCAGAGAGGTTAGAAACTTGCCTGAGGTCACCCAGCCAGTCAGTGGTGGATCTAGGATTCGAATCCAGGTCTGTTTGACTGCAAAGCCCAGGGTCTTTGCTCCCCGCTGCCTCCCAGCAGGGCTGGTATGGTCCTTCCTCCCTACCATTTCTGAACCTTGACTTGGAGCTGATGATGAAACAAAGGGATCTGTTGGCTTCAAGTCAGCCACCCAATGTACCTTTGCAGGTGGTAGAGACTGCAGGATCCCATCCCTCTCCAAAGCCCACACAGGAAATCTTAGATGATGATGGACCATGTTTACCAACTCATGCATTCATTCAGTGAGCATTCACAGAACATTCACTAGGTATGAGGCCTGTAGGAGAAGACCCCTCTTTTAAAAAGTATATTATCTCACAGGGAAGCCAGGACATAGGTCATGTGATAAGTGTCAGCCAGTGCCTCTAACCCAGGCTGAGGCAAGGAGAAAGGAAAGTCAGGGTAGGCTTCCTGAAGGAGGTGATGCTGATCAAAGACACCAAGGATGAGTTGATTGGGCATCATGTCGATCATGTGCCATCTGACTCTTCAGAGGAGAGTAGGGGAAATAACAGGTCTCACTTCAGGATTCTAAACATGATCTGGATCCTGATGCCAGAGCATTTTCCTCAGTGCCTTGGCATCACTTCCTGGCAGGGCCCAGTTCTCCAGATAAACAGACCATGTCAGAGAATTGTCCCCTTGAGCGCTTCCCCAAACACAAAGTGCCACAATGGCAGGATTTGAGCCTTCTGCCTGGCTGCCACTCCATATGCCCAAGCCAACTTGGCCCTCACCTGACCATCCACCGGGCCCCATCACCACCACCAGAGACTAGCCTGGTAGGCAAACCATTGGCCAATGAACACTGGGAAAGCAGGTTAGCCCAGGGCAGGTCTTGGCCCTGCTTTAGTCTTGGGAGGAAGTAAAGAGGGAAGGCCTGAATGGTTTCCCATGAACACTGCATGACTCCTAGTCTCTCAGACCAGGGTTGGCAAACTTTGGTTGGTACAATGAACAGCTGATGGAAAATGGGTATTTGGGGGAAATCATAAAAATAGTATTTACATATGTATGTAATACCATGGTAAATGAAAGTTCTAAAAGGCTTCTAAACCAGCCAGATCTGCTGATGGAAAAAATCTGCTTGGGAAGATAACCTTTCTGGATCAACCATTTATGAAATTGCGCAGAGGCCAGATGTGCCAAGGAAGATCCTCCAACAAGCGTCAGGTTTTCAGAGGTTTTGAGCCAGCTCTCATTGACTCCATCTGCATCCTATCTTGAGCTGTTGTACAGGGAACCACTTGACATCCTCACTAAAGCGGTCATGCTTTTGTCCTGAGCCAAGTGTTTGCATTGTGGGATTGGAGCATAAACTCCTCTCTTCAGTCTGCGCTACCCCAAAAAGTCATCCCCAAATGGCTCAAAGTGGTGGTTCCTACTGTCTATCTGTCAAAGGGTACATTCTTATGACGGTTTTTACTGGTCTGCCATAAAATAAAGAAAATAGTTTCCTGTTTTTTTTGTAATGCTATATTTCCCATTTAAAAAGTGTCTTTTCTACCTTTTTTTTTTGATGTTTTTAAATTAGAAGTGCTGGAAAATGGTAGTTTGTATTTCTAAACATCCTCACTTGGCAAAATGAAAAGCTGCCTACTGTACTTTGCCTACTGTACTGTGGTGTTTGGGGATATTTTACTGGTACATGAAATCCAAAAGTTTGGGACCCTTTGACCATAGTGGTAGTGGTCATGTGTCCTCTGGTTGAAAGGAGACTGAAGCAAGATATTCCTGTCAAACGGGCCCAGATTTCAGAATTGAAGTTTCAGAGAGGAAACCATCTGAATCAAAATGGCCAATGGCAGGGGCTGTTGCATAAAGCAAAAGAGGAAATGCTGGGGGTCCCTGGGAGAGGCAGTTCCTTGCAGCACTGTGAGAATTTTAAGAGAGAAAACTCTCAGCCCTGGTCGGCTGGGAAGTCTCCATGTTTTGTTCTTAGAGCCCCATCTCTCCCATTTTCTCTCGAGAACAGAGATCATGCCCTATACTTGAGAAATCAGCCCAGAATGGGGTATTATATGGCTTTATGAGGATTCATTGATTGATGATGGGTAAAGGGTTGTTGAGCAGGATGCCCCATGTCCATGCTGAGCCATGGAGGGCACACCTGCACACACCCCTCCCCCGGCCAGGGGCCATATCCTCAGACAACAGCAAGCGAGGCCGTGTCAGCCTTCCTGTGCTCCCTCGCCAATGCCAGTCCTTAGCCATTCATAATTTAGGCTTCTCCTGAACCCTTGCTTTTCCACACTCTTCTGGCACTCTCTTCCTCACTGAGGATTGGACATGTGGAAAGTTTCAGCCTTGGGAGTTCAGCTCTGTGCAGTTAGCAGGATGCCAAAAGAGAGGGGAATAAAAAGAAAATTTTCTAAATTGCTTTGAAAGTAAGCAATAGAAGGCATCATTCCCTCCAACCCCCTA